ATGTAGCCTGGGGTTCAGAAGGGGAACCTTTTTCTTCCCAACTGTCATTTGGCAGCCGGACTAAGAATCTCTTTTTCTGGGCCTTTTTGCATCCTGTCTTTGGGGACTTGGGATATAATGAACACCTCTCCTTGCCTTACACAATACGTCTCAGAAAGGCATTTTTAGAATCTTGAAAGGGGAAGGTGTTAGCTCTTGCTATGAAGTCTGTCACAGTGACTGTTCCTGGTGTTCTGAGGCAGGACAAATGGCAATAGAATCAGGAATCACACAACACTCAAGGGGAGACTTGATAAAATTCTGGGGCTAGCAGGCTTTCCACCTGATACCCTGTTAAAGAAACACAGCCCAGCACAGTGAAAGGCTCTAGAAACCCAGACGCTCTTCCAACCAAATGACATTCACATTGCAGTTGTCATTACACACAGTTTCCCAAGGTTAGTACTCCCCAACCTTTTCCAAAATAAAGACCCAATCTGAACATCAAAAGTGTGTGACACACCACAGTGAGGTACCATTTCATACCCGTCAGAGTGGCTGCTATCAAAAGACAAGAAATAACCAGTGTTGGTGAGGATGTGGAAAAAAGAACCTACTGGTGGGAATGTAAATTGGTGCAGCCACTATGGAACACAGTATGGATGTTCCTCAAAAAATTAAAAATAGGGGGTGCCTGGATAGCTCAGTCAGTTGAGTGTCTGACTTTGGTTCAGGTCATGATCTTGCAGCTTGTGAGTTCAGGCCCCACATCGGGTTCCGTGCGGTCAGTGGAGAGCCTGCTTTGGATCATCTGTTTCCCTCTCTCTCTGTGCCTCTCTCTCTCTCTCTCTCTCAAAAGTAAAGAAACATTTTAAAAATTCGAAAAATAGAAAAAATAAAAATAGAACGACCCTACGATCCAGCAGTTCTACTTGAGTATTTATCGGAAATGAAAACACTAATTCGAAAAGATATATACACCTCTGTGTTCATTGCAACATTCTTCACAATAGCTAAGATATGGAAACAACCAAAGTATCCACTGATGGAAGAATGGATAAAGAAGAGGTGTGTGTGTATGTGTGTGTGCGTGTGTATGTACACACGCACACACACATACACACACAGTGAAATACTACTCAGCCATAAAAAAGAAGGAATTCTCTCCATTTGCAACAACATGGATGGACCTTGAGGATATCATGCTAAGTGAGCTAAGCCAGAGAGTGAAAATGCTATATGATTTCACTTGTATTTGGAATTTTAAAAAACAAAACAAATGAACAAATAAACTCATAGATGCAGAGAACCAGATTGGTGGTTGCCCCAGAGGAGGGCACTGGCAAAATGGAAGAAGGGAGTCAAAAGGTACAAACTTCAAGTGTTAAATAAGTCAGAGGGATATAATGGATGGCATGGGGAATCCAGTCCATAACATTGTATTTCATATTATGTGACTTTATATGGTGACAAGGGCTACTAGACTTACTGTAGTGCATGTTTCACAGTGTATACAAATACTTAGTCACAGATAGGTGTTTCTTAAAAGAATCTTTTTCATAGATTTGTCTAAAACAACGGTGTTATTAGGCATATGAAACACAGGGGAATAAACCTGTAGGACCCCAAGCTCACACAGCCCATAGGGATGAAAACACAGTCTTCCCAGGCTATGTGCAGTGCCCCCACTTGCTAGCTGCCTGGGCTGTGTATCCAGGGGGGGTGGTTGCTAGGTTAGAAATTCTCACATTATTCAGAGCTTATGCTTTCCTTGATTTCAGCTTCTCATTAGCAGGTGAGGGAATTATGCCTTTTTTCATCTATTTAAGTTTGGCTTGATGGCAGGGTGCTTAAAATAAAAATCCTATGAATCTGATAGCACAGTGGTTGCAGTATAGGCTAGAGCCAAACAGCCGTGGTGTAAGCCTTAACTGTGCCCCTTGAGGACTGTGACCTTGGGGGAGCTCCTTAACTGCTCTGTGCCTCAGTTTCCCCATCTGTAAAGTGGAGACAACAACTGAGCCTACCTCATAGGGCCATTATGAGGATTAAATGAGATGACTTATGTAAAGCATTTGAACAGTGCCGGGTGCATAGGAAGTTCTGTGTAAGTATCTGTTACATGAATCTTTTTGTTTAGATTTACAAAGACAGAGTGAGAAAGCAGTAACGTTTGTGTGAGAAATGGTATCTGAAATACCAAGATGGCCTGAGACAGTTGGTGGCAGGGATGTGATTAGAGTCTGAAGGCGGACCAGTCTGAGGCAGGGTCAGCCTCACAACTCAGTGCTCAGGAGCGTGCCCTTGACGCACAGTGCGGGTCAGAGGAAGCCCCATTTTGCCACTGGGAAGTGATGTTCTAGAACCTGTCCCTCCAGTAGATGCTGAAAAGTGCAGCTTTGCTTTCAGAATTACGGCACCCAATGCAGAGGAAACGGTCTGCCCCTTTGGTGACAGGGGAAGCGTGGGATGGTGTGCTCTCTTTCTGAGCGGTGAGATTTAGGAGGAACAGAGGGAAATTGGAGAGCCACCATGTGGAAATGCTGGAGGTCAGCCAAGGCACCAGAGGGTAGAGAAGGTTGAGAACTTCTTGGCTTCCTGTGTCAGGTGCCTGACACGTGTCACAGGACCCCAGAAGGGAAAATGGTGTGGTCACTTGCCCGAGGATCTCACATTCTCTCTTGCTACACGGAAGCCCTTGGACACCGTTGTTTGAAGTCTGAACAGGCTGCTGTCACATCATGGGCAGGGTTCAGGGAGAAGATGATGATCACATGTAGGGACTATTTATAGTGATTTATATGAGAACAGTGCGCTCCTAATTCCCCTTTTGATTGTAACGATTTAAGAATCTAAGTGGGAGCACAGGTTAGAAATGCATAAAGATGGGAAAATAATTAGACAGTTAAGCCGAGAGTATACCTAATTGAGGAGCTGAAGGTTGGGATTCAGTGGCTCTTAGGATTAACCATCCAGGTGACAACGTGGAAGAAAATCCTATCTTTTCAAAAAAAGAAAAACTAGTTCTTTGGTACCCTTGAGAAAGGGGATATTATACTGGAGGGATCTTTGGCCCAATTTGAGTTGAATGTATCTATCTAACTTCTTTTCTTTCTTTCTCTTTCTCTCTCTCTTTCTTTCTTTCTTTCTCCCTTTTTCTCTTTGCTTCAGGATTCTTATGTTAAGAATATTTTAAGATTCTTATGATTGAATGTGAGGACTTAGGAGGGCTGTGCTGGGCACCAAAGACAGACAATGGACAGCCCCTGCCCTCGGGGCCTTTAAGTGGTGGGGGTGAGGGATAGAACTGCAAAGGGTAACCTGAATTAGATGACTATCCACTAGAATTATAAATCGAGCAGTGGCAGGAAGGGCCCACCACAGGCTGTCCTGCCTGAGGGGACTGAAGAAGGGCGCTGCAAGGCTGAATCTTTCCTCTATGCTCCGCTGCGGGGAAGGTCTTCCTGGTTTGGAAATCGCTTCAGCCATGACGGAGGGCTTGAGGATGTGTGTTGAGAGGATCCTTGATGGATTCAGAATCCAGGATCTCTTGTCTGTGAACCATGGAAAGGAGTACAGCCTCCAGACCGTTTTTTAACAAGTTAAGTTTAATGTTTGTTAAGGATTCTGAAACACAGTGAAACATCTAGGCCTCCTGTTACCCATATGCACGTTGGCATGTCTTGTGCCGGTTATGCCCACAGTTGGCTTCTCTAAAAGGACGAAGGGCACTTCTGATTAGGAGAGAGCGGAGGAGGCCCCCGACAGCCTGTTTTCACTGCGCTTGAGGGAAGGAGCTCAGCTGAACAGGTCTTCCCCCGCTGCTCGTCCCTCTTCAAGTTAAAATTCTCAACCTTGGTTAAAGAGTGTTGATACTACTGAGCTATCCAAATAGTGTACTCTTGTAAAAAAGTCTTAAAAGGTGTGCTTTTGCCATTAATACTGCACATTGACTTATTTTCTTAAAGTTGGCTTAAGTACTATAATTTGTGAGTAAATATAATCTCCTGAACCAAGATGTTGTTTGGGGAGAGGGCTTTGACAATGATAATATTTTTAAATATCCCTGTATTTTTATTGGTGTTCAAAGACTTATATAGTTAAAAATATGACACATGGAGGATACTGAGTTTTGTTTTTAAGTGAATGAGTGCCCAGTGCTCAGTGTATCCTCCTTGAAGAAAGTACATTTTTTTTTTAAAGTAAGCTCTACACCCAGCGTGGGGCTTGAACTCACAACCCTGAGATCAAGAGTCGCATGCCCCAATGACTGAGCCAGGCAGATGCCCTAGAAAAGTGTGTCTTTAGAAGCCTCTGGCAGCTGTTGAGAGCTGCACGGTTCAGCACTGCAGCTACAAGTGGCCACGGAGCGCTTACCATGTGGCTAGTCCAAATTGAGGTGTGTTAAAAATATACAATGTACACTGGATGTTGAAGACTGTTTCTTCATGCTTCTTTTTATGCACTCTTATTAATGTTTATATTGGTGGCTTATTGAAATGACACTATGTTGACTGTGCTGGGTTAAATATTCAAATCCATCTCACTCTTTTCTTCCCCCTAAAGGTGGCTTCTAGAAAGTGTGAAATCACCTAGGTGGCTCACATTTGTTTCTACTGGATAGCAGGGCTCTAGAACCTTGCATTACCTTTGTTCCCTCTCACTTCCCTCCATCCCTGAATGCCAGCCCCTTGGGCCATCTCTCCGCAAGCTCATCCCGTTGTTTTGCGCCAACTTAGCTGTCTAATGCTTTCTTGCATAGCTGTACCCATGAAAATGTTCTGCTTAGGCTGTGTTGACTTGTCCTTTAAGATCTAGGTCCTATACCTCCCCTTTCACAAAGCTGCTCTGTCTATCTTCAGGCAAAATTAATGTATCCCTCTTCTGTCCCATCCCCTTGTTTTTTTTAAATATTTAGTATTTCCCCCTGCTGCCTTTTCTCTTCTGGTCTGCTCCTAGAGGACAGGGGTGCCTGCCTTATTCATCTGTTTCTAAGGTGAACACTTAAATCAGTGCCCGACATGGGTGAGTGCACAGTAAAAGTTTAACGAATCAATGAATCCTTTCTCCCTGAGCTCAACCAATTTATGTATAGAGACCTGAAACACACACACATACGCAAAGACCTGAAACACAGGAGGTTAACCCAGCATTGGGCTTACTTCTAAAAGTGGAGGCCACAGGCTGCTAGCCTAAGAATCACCCCAATGTTTATAAAAAGTAATATTACCAGACTTCAGACCAACAGGTTCTGTCAGGAAATGTTAGATTGTGCCGCAGTGACACGTCATTACCTTCATAGCAAAAGTTTAATTCCGAGTGTACTGTGGGCCCTGGGTCACCCTCCAGGGAAACTGATGATTCAGGTTAGACCTTCATATCAGCAAGAGGGATGTAAGATCTAGTGACAGTGGTTGACACTCTCACCCAGATATGTGTCACTTTTTTTAGTTTTATTTTTCATATTTGTGAGAGAGATAGAGACAGAGCACGAGCAGGGGAGGGGCAGAGAGATGGAGACAGAATCCAAAGCAGGCTCCAGGCTCTGAGCTGTCAGCACAGAGCCCGACGCAGGGCTCAAACCCACGAGCAGCGAGATCATGACCCGAGCTGAAGTCGGACGCCCCAGCGACTGAGCCACCCAGGCGCCCCGATATGTGTCACTTTTTAGTGTTCACCTTTCATTGCCTGAAGCACTTATGTGGCTATTCCAAACTTCCAGAGGTTGAGGAAGACCAAGACTTCTGCATGCCTAGTAGTAGAGAGACGTGTATATTGCTACATAAGCCTAATATGAATCTCGAAGTGAGGTCCAGGAATCTACATTTTTAATTCCCTTGGTGACCCACATTCACACTAAAGTTTGAGGGCCATTGGGTAGGCCAGGAGTTCTCAACCTTAGCTGCTCACTATAGTTGCCTGGGGAATTTTAAAAACACTGAGGCCCTAGCCCTACCCCCAGATATCCTAATTCACAGGGGCTAGGGGAGAGGCCAGGCATCAGTAATCTTTCAGTCTTCCTAGGGAATTCTAGTACATGTCCAGGGTGGAAAGCCACAGGGGTAAGAAAAAGAGCAAAGACCTTTGAATCCTGACTATAATACTGACTAAGCCTCAGTTTGCGTATCTGTCAATAGTAGTGAAGATCAAACAAATGTGAAAATATTTGTTAACTACAGTATTGAACAAATATTGGCTATTATTATTCACTGGCAAGTATGGACATTTAGATAAACTGGGTTTGTATACACTCTTACATGCACATGCCGTTTACTCCCTCCCCCACACAAACCCAGGGAAGAAGGAAAGTGTCCTCTCCACCTCTGCCTTCTGCCTCCTCTTACAGTCAGTAAATGGGCGGTCCCTTCTCCCTCCCTTCTGCTGATGTTGCTGATAAAGGGGAGAAAGGGAAGGAGAAAAACATCTTCCCTGCCTCTGTCTTCCTCTCCATGGCCTATTCCAGAATGCTTAGCCTAGGGCTTTTGTTCTGCCATAGCCTTTCCAAGGCCCCTTCCCCTCACACTCCCTTCAGTCCAAGACCTGTGTCTTATGCCTATAATTCATTACAACCCTATTTCCAACCTCTTCCCGTAGCTCATTCCCCACTGACCCCCAGTCCCATGCCAGGACAGACAGCAAGCACCATGGCCCTGGGGGAGGCCCTTTCCTGCTCTCCAATAGGTCGAGCAGCATAGGGAATCCATATACTCAGAAAATGGGTCTCCAAGGCATTGTCCCAGAGCAGTGTCATTGGGACTGGCAGATTCGGCAGCTCTGTGTTTGAGGGGTAGGGTAATACCAGCTCTTTATAATATGTTGTTTCCTGTGATTTAATATTTGGTGTTAGGTTAGATCCTGAGGTCTAACAACTGGTTTGCAAACAACTTCTTGAAATGCCTCTGGTCTGTCACCTGGAAATTGCCTCAGAAGTAGGCTTTCTTTAGTTACAAAAATACCACATTGGCTTTCTTCCACTGACAGAGCTAAGAGTTAATGCTGAAGTAAGCTGTTTTTAATTATTTTTCCTCTCATGTCCAACAGTTTTCAAGTCAGAACAATGCACGAGTCCCTCACAGGAAATAAATGCAATACTGCTTATAAAAAATACAGATTTGTGCACGTGATGTGAATCGTGGGCTTATAAAAGGATCGAACGAATCCCTCAGCCTAAACAGCTGTGATATTATAGATCCTTGGAAATGATTCTTACTGGTATGACTAATACCACTGAGGTCCTTGGCAGTGGAGATTTGATGTCCATCATCAGATTTTGGCCACCCTGGCCTGTCCAAAAGCTGGACCCCACTTCCTTCCTATGCAGCAGTCGGAGCCTCCCCGCTACCATGGGCTCTTAATCGGAAGTCAGCGGGGCTGGAATGCAGTGTGCCCAAAGGGAAAGATGCTCAGGGAGCTTGCACTTTGTCAGCAGGGACTGCTGGTGCAGCTTTTCCCTATTCCACCTGCCACATAGGTGCAGTTTTTTGTTTTGTTTTGTTTTGTTTTTTTTCATTGATTTGTGCCTGACATTAGGTCTAAAATCGATACTGGAGACTCATTGAATGAAACAGAAATGCTTAGCAATCTTAAAATGAGCCTCTGTATGTCTCTGTGGTATACTTTCTTGCAAATGACATAGTTGAACATGTATTTGAGTTTCTGATTTAAATTACAATCCAGTGCAGTATCTCCACGTGTCACCATCAGTTATAAGAACTACAGCAGGGGTGCCTGGGTGGCTCAGTAGGTTGAGTGTCTGACTCAATTTCAGCTCAGGTTATGATCTTCCAGTTCATGGGATTGAGCCCCGTGTTAGGCTCTGCACTGACAGCATGGAGCATGCTTAGGATTGTCTCTTCTCCCTCTCCCTCTCCCTCCCTTTCTGTCTCCGTCTCTCTCTCCCCCTTCCCCCACTCACTCATGCTTTCTCTCTCTCTTTCCCTCTCTCTCTCAAAATAAATTAATTAAAAAAAAAAAAAAAAACAGCAGCAGCAGAAGCAATGTGCTTTCAGAGTAAGACCCAGGCAGTCTCCTGCTGCATGCATCCCCCGCCTCCCCTCCCCGGCTGCAGCTAGCAGATCTGTCCTCCTTCCTCTCTGTACTCCAGCTCTCTGGCATCCTTTCCTTTTCTCCCATGTGTTGGACACCTCTCTGTCTCTGGGCTTCTGCACTTGATACTCCTTCTGCCTAGGATGCTCTTTCCCCAGTTTCCCCCACGACTGACCCATTCGTGCCCTTCGGACCTCAGATCTGCTTCCCCTTCTTAGAGACATCTTCCCTAATGGTAACATCCTACGGCAGCTCTCTGTCCCACCTCTGTTCATGTCAATTCCAAGTGCTCACTGCTGTCTCTAACGCTTTCATTATTTCATTTGTTTGTTTACTTATCATTTGTCTGCCTCCCCCAGTAGACCTAAGTTCCTTGAGGGTGGTGATCTTGTCTGTCTGGTTCATTCGTGTAGCACCCAGTACAGTGCTTGGCACACAAATGGCACTTGATATTTGAGTGAGTGAGTGAATGAATGAATACCGAGCCTGGCCCAGTGCTTTACATCATGTTTTTATAACATTCACTATTGATACATGAGGAAACTATGGCCCAGAGGGTTTTGAATTAGTAAAAATTAGTAAAAAGAGGTCAGAATTAGTAAAAAAGAGCTGAGATTTGAACTTAGTCTACCTGCCTGCAAAAGTTTGTGCCACAGTCAGGTCTGAAGTTACGGTTCAATCTTAAATTTTTGCCTCATTGTAACTTTGTAGATTTGTTAGTAATAAGTATTTTGCTTATTCTTATGGCTTAAAACTTTTTGTCCATGGGCCATGAAAACAGGTCATTTCCCATAGTTTTGTGCAAAAGAACTCGGTGGTAACAAAGAAATACTCCGGCAGAAGCATATTTTGGGAAGAGTTGCAGACATCTGCTTGAGCATGGGGATTTTGGATGATTCTTATTTGAGAAGTAAGGCATGTCTTAAAGTCTAGTTTTTGGAAAACAAAACAATGAAAGTAATTGTGGCAGCAAACAGAGAGCAGAGCCAAGCTCCAGACAGCATCGATGACCCTCGGTAGCAATCCTGCCCCCAGCGACAGGAGCTTCTGGGGCTCACCCACGTGGCCGTGGAGGGCAGCTCCGCCATGTTGCTGAGATCCGTGCAGCACCTGACTCTGTAGACTAGGCGTCTGACAAAAGGTGCTCAGTAAACTCTGGTCGGAAAGGAAATAAATTGCTGCTTTTACAAACTATACAATTACATACCTGAGGAATACAAACTACCAGAATGCCTAGCAGAAATATTAAGAGTATTTAGCAGGGTGCGAGTAAGAAAATAAACAATCCGTGGTTTTCCTATAAACCAGTTAAAAATATGCTGGGGAAGATCACCTTCAAGATGGTTGTGAAATAGACTGTAGACTATGTAGGAGTGAACTTCAGAAGCTGTTCAGAATCTATTTGAAGAATGCCGTAAAACTTTCCTTTTGAGATAATTTACTTAAATACAGGGACCTGTGCCTCGATAGGAAAGTGCAATGTTCTAAAATTGTTCGTTCTTCCCATTATTACTTTAGAAATTTAAGTGAGTTCTAGTCTTTCAGAACAGGTAGCAGAAATTTGACTAAAGGTTTCTAAAGTTTGCCTTCATAAATAAGGCACAAGAAAATGTTGATTTGAAAAGTAGAAGGAGGGGTGCCTGGGTGGCCCAGCCGATTAAGCATCCAACTTCAGCTCCAATCTTGATCTCATAGTTTGTGGGTTCGAGCCCCACATCAGGCTCTGTGCTGACAGCTCAGAGCCTGCTTGGGATTGTGTGTCTCCCTCTCTCTCTGTCCCTCCCTTGCTCGTGCTCGCGGGCGCACTCTCTCTCTCTCTCAAAAATAAACATTAAAAAAAATTGTTTTAAAGAAAGGTAGAAGAATTTGTACTATCAAATATTATTAATAAATAATATAAAACTGCTCTAATTAAAACTTTGTGACACCAGCACAAGAATAGATCCATTCAAGTCAACATGGAAACCTCCGGAAGACAG